AAAAAAAAAAAAGAAAAGAGACTACAAATTTAACAAAAAACTTTTTTGTTAATCTTGTCAACATTTCTTGACAACCGCTGTCTTCCAACTACGTACTTTTTGACTTCTTCTTTTTACGCATTAATTAATAGACAAGTATAATTCCAATTTAAAGGTTACTTATAACAAGCAAAAAAAAAAAAACTTGCTTACCTCTCTTACATAGAATTAAAGCGTACAACAGTCATAACAGATAGCAGTTAACATACAATAATCTTAATATACCACTGTTCAGTTCTATTCTAATTTTTTCTTTTTTTTTTTTCTTTTTGTATTTCCATTTCCACACAGAGAAACTGATTAGTTTCTTGTTGACTGGTAGAATAAGTAGTACAGAATCGATGTTAGTTTGTTTAATGCTTAGAATTTTTTGAAACAATCCAACAACCAAAGCGCCTTAACACGGCAACTACAGCAACCAACGGGCAGTTGCAGCAAAAACGCAGCAAACTGTTTTGAATTGTAAAGCACGGGGTGCAATTTTTTGTATGTGCTCTATGAAATGGTTGTAAGACTAAACTAACTATTTGAATAAAACCATCGTCATCATCGTCGTCATCATATCATCATCATCATCATCATCATCATCATCATCATCAGTCTCATCATCATCATCATCATCATCATCATCATCATCATCACCATTATTACCACTGCCACTATCAACACCATCGCAACACCACTATATCACCACCATAAACTTAAAGCTTTGAAAAAAAATGCCTTTATTACATTTGTATAGACAATGCTTGCAAAAGACGCTCTTAAACTACTTTAATCCTCTTTATTCAAATCTAATTTTCCACACAAAAAAAAGAAAAGAGAAACAGAAAAAAGTTTTTTTTTTAAAAAACATTATAACACTTACATTAAAGTTTGCATAACGTTTTTCTTCTGTACTTTTTTTCAAAAACTTTTTTAGGCATTCTTCGCACGGTGTAGACCGGTAACCATAAGACTTCTGATTAAGCAATTATAACAATAATCATTCTTGATAATTAAACAAAATCTTGTAAACTTTTCATCTTTATCGATAGTCTAAAACCAATTTTTCAGGCGCTTTCTTCTCTATTTTTCCTTTATATAGCTTTTACCTGTGCTTCTTTTTTTACCTGTGCTTCTGAAAGAATTAGTTTATTTTTCTGAGAACAGTACTTTTTTAGCTTATCAGTACAGAGTCTCAATCTTTAGCAAACAGTCTAGTTCTTTTCATTCAATCAAAAACTGGTTTTTGTTTATTTACCTATAAAATCTCCATTTAATTACCTTTTTGTCTGTGGTTGTCATAAATTTTAACTCAAAATTTACTCAAACAATTTTTTAACTGATACTTCAGTTGTTGCTAAAAAATTAAGAACCAAAGAATTCTAAAATCGACTTTAAATTTATTGATTTTTTATTACCTTTAAAAACGATACGTATTTTTGTCTTACCTTTTTTTTTCTTCTGATAAATTGAGAAGCAAACTTTGTAAATCTTTC